TGCTGTTGCTGTTGTTTTCAAGGGTTATGTCCCACAGCTGCCTTTCATTCTGAGCACATCGCATCCAACTTGAGTTGTCCAAGTTGTGTTGACGAGTGCATCATCCACCTCGAATGTTTACAAGGCCTGCTTGTCCCAAAAACACTTACATATATAAATACAGAAGGCAGCACGTCTGCCTTTCGGGTGTTCTCACACTTCATCAACGGCTTAGCGGATCCGTCCCCAAACGGATCCGTTCGGATCAGACCTTCGGATGCCTGGAATCCACAGAACCTGGATGCCTCGAATTCCAGGTCGGCCATATTTTGGTACCCACCAAACCTGGCAACATCTGCGCGGCATTATTCAGGGTGGCATCAAGTCGTTTTGTTTAAGAAGCATCAATGACCAAACGTGTGACAAACGAGATGAATATATGAGTGTGTAGCTCAATTAGGGAGACCATCCCAGTTCAACCTCCTGGAAGGTTTGGGAAATAGACCAATCTACCCAGCCAGGGTCAGGAGAGGGTCTCCCTATTGAAATACACACCCATATTTGGGACCACCAAAGCACAGGAAATTCCTGGATCATGTTAAACATAGTCTTGGACTTTGATGGCAAACATGTCTGAAGAAGGTTCATGTCTACTTTAACTTCCAGCCAATGAGTCACCCTCTGACGAACGCATCACATGAAGCTGGATGGCAAGGCTCCTTGGAAGACTAGTTTCCCTTACGAACCGGGGGGTGCCATCCACTTCGTGATGTGATGTGTTGCAACAGGCTTTCTCACTGTTCGGCCGGACCGTTTCAGCGGCCGTTCCGCTTGCTCCGCTCCTTGCTTCTCGATCTCGAAAAGGGCAGGGATTGTATCTGCCTTCGTGGGATAGCCTGCCTGGTACGCTGGGCGCGGCGTTGAAGGCTGCGGCTTTTCAGGGTGAAGGAGCAACGGAAGGAGCATTTAAGTGAAGCTTCACCAACCAGACCCCAGAAATTTGCAGGGGCTGCTTTCAACACCAGGGTTCAAACTACCGCTCTTATATAAAGAGGTTCTACAGTCCCAATGGAAGGAGTTGTATATATAATATATAATATAATATCTATAATCAATTAACGCCTCACTTGAAGAGGCTTTACAATCCCAAGGGGATGGGGAGTGTTTCAGAAAGAGCCTAAAGTATATACCGATACCCATGCAAGGATTATTCTTATGGAAAAAAACTCCTACGCCTACTTGGATGCCACGGACAACAGCCAATGACCCGCGGAAGATGGGACGTCTGACATGAAAAACAGCCAACGCTGTTGTGGGAGCTGTTGCGGGCTGTTGTGGATGTAGAAGGCGAGATGGTAGATCTCTGGACATGTCTGGACCTTTCTGGAGTCCCATACAGTGACCTCAAAGTGACTGAACTGAGGAGTTCCATGCGTTTTTTTCCTGCAGAACAGGGATCCTTGTGAGCGAACCAACCCGGGGATGAAAGAGTCAGGTCACTAAGAAGAACCAGATCGGTAGATCGATCTGTAATTCATTTAGCCCAGACACGAACCAGTCGGTTTAGACTGCCATGTCGGACTATATATACCGCCCCACAACGACCCCTCAAACCACCACCACCCCTGGCCGTTTCTCGGCAGTCCTATGGCAGTCCCGTTGGCCGTGTCTGGGTAGTACTCCTTTTCCAAGGAACGAACTGAGACTTCATCAGACCGTATGGGCCCCGACCGGGCAGTTCTTGACTGCGCTGCAAGACACCTATGGGGTGACCTGCAACGGGACAACGGGAAGACCACGACTGGTACACAACAAATGATCCTTAAAAAGCTCCAACGAAAGCCTTACAGGCATGGAGTTTAGTAAAACCAAAAAACCTCTGGAAGTTGCTTGAAATGTCATTTTGCAGGAATCTCCGTTCACTTAGATTCTAGATGCGTCGGAACATCTAACTAGAGTCGCCGAGATGAAGGTGATGTACTGCCGCCCAGCGCGCTACGTGTGTTTGCATATCCCTAATAGTCCCTTTAGTAAATCTAACTCTCTGAGTATGGAGTACCATTCTCTTGCCATGCGTCTTCCGGTCTTTTTCAATGCCTGGTCTCCATGGTACACCTGGGTCCGCCAGCGAAAGAACCGCACAACCGCCGTTGGACCGTTGTTGTATAGACCAGGGACCATCGGACTGGCATATTGACCTTCCTTGGGTTTCAGGTGTCAATGGATGCTAAATATGCCCGTCCCATGGATTGCTCAGGCTACCGGCACCAAGCCGACCCGCGTCGAGTGCCACCCGAGCGGGACCCGCGTGCGTTCCGAGCGGCCGTGACGTAGGCCACGAAGGCCGTGCGTTTGGCCTGGCGGCACGCCGCGAAGCGCTCCTGAGCCGGAAGGACTTTGGTAGGTGGCGGGCGTGCGGTGGAAGGGTGGAAGTGAACATGGTCAACTGAACAGGTGGGAGGTGTTAGGGTTTTGATGTGTTCTGGCTGAGAAAGCTTCTGGCCACCAACATTTCTTTTAGCTTCCACGACGTTGTGAAGGTTTGAATGGCTGGGAAAGACTGCCCATTGCTTTCCTTCAATCATAACCTGTTCAGGGACCATCAGGGACCCCCAGGTGACAGGTGTCGGGAATCCTAATTCAGGTTCCTGATGCATGCCAGCTGCTTCTAATAGCCTCCCTCGAGCTCACTCAAACATACAGGTTAACATACCCTACACTTCCAGTCGTACCTCCTCAGTAGGTACTTAGACCCTCCTGGCACCCACCCCAAACACCTTCTCAGGTTCGGTACGACTGGAGGCCTAGGGATAGGTTGACGTTAACCCTTTTTCCCTCGTCCAAATGCTTCTTCGTGGGGTCTCCCCAATCTTCTCCAATCACCCACCCACGAAAGCTACCTGCAGGTGATCCGATCCTGCTGCGTGCGGCGTGCGCCTGCGTGCGGCTTCTAATTAATCCGCGCGCATGTCCAGGGCGGCCACACCGATAGGTCAAAGATGGTCCAAGGGCTCCCGTCACTGAGCCACGATGATGCACGATGTACTGTGCGGTAAGTCCCTAGGGCTCCTGGCCCATACCCTCAGAAGGTGGTTAGACCCCCCAAACCCACCCCAACCACCTTCTCAGGAGGTGGTTGGAGCCCTATGTCTAGTCTGTCTAGTCCATCGTTTTCTTGTGCTGACAACGGGGTCAACCAGCTTGGGATGCTGCCCGTGTGCCTAGCGCCACTGGAATTCCAGCCAGAAGGGCGTTAATGAGGGCCGTCAGGGTCAATTTTGGAGACAAACATAGACAAACTGATCTGGAGACCTTCGACTCATCCAAGCGGTCTATACTCCTTTGTAGGTCTGGCTCTGTGCAACCGCTACACCACCCAGAAGACCTACCCCAATCTGCGTCCATGTCGCCGCCAAGCGTGCCGACATGGCCAAAAATGGGAGGCGCGGGATCCCTATGCGGCGAAGATGGGACGAGTGGCACAGCTAAAGCATCTAGAGCCACATCAAATGCCACGGTGTCCGCCAGTTTCCTCGCCAATAGGGGAAACCAGGAAACCGCTCAGCCAAGATGGAAGGATTGGAGGTTCCCTTCATGTCAAGTTGCATCCCTCCAGCTTGCCACACTGCAAGATCCAAAAGACCTGCTTTGAGAAGTGTTAGTAAGCAGCATTCAATTGCTCAACGAGTCTGGCTTCCTTTGGACCCGATCCCATTGGAATGTCTATCTTTGGTCCATCAGAAACACACAAAGGCTTTTCACGCGCTACACAACATGATGGAGCCCGAAACCATTGGCTTGCGACGGAACGTCCACTTCCGGTGCGAAACAGTTGGGGATCGACCCATTTCGGGAATCATCAACCCCTAGGGCTCCAACCATATCCTCAGGTTCGGTGGTTAGACCCCCCTGGCACCCACCCCAACCACCTTCTCCTCAGGAGGTAGGCCAGGAGCCCTAGGGAACAAACCACTACCACTTCTACCACCCGAAAGATGCAACAAAAACCGCTCCAGGAGTCGAGTGGCTTCGTGTCTACCTTACCTGTCTACCGTCTACAACGACCGAAGGAGTGGACCGGGCGCTTCGTGTCACCCCTCGGGTCCGTCGGTCACGGACGTCCGGTCTCGTGGTTTTTCCGTTCGAAGAACTCCCGGTCGCTGGCAGCTGGAAGATGACAACACCTATGTGAGTGACTCATGACCCGAGTCATAAGCATCTCAAAACCGCCAACCGCCCCAAGAATCCCAGACACGACAAGCTGGGACTGCCATGTCGGACTACCGCCCCACAACGACCCCTCTGGCACCACCCCAACTGATCGGCATACATGGCAGTCCCATTATAATATAGTCATGTCTGTGAATGTATGTGAATGATTTGAGTTGCCAATAAAATTTTAACTAATCTCCAGCCTACAAGGTACTTGACATGTAGAAGACCTAGCCAGCATGGATGTGTGTTGTATGATATGTTGAATATTGTTGAACCCTTCAAGCACCCACGGTCAAGTGCAGAATAATGATCACGCGCCTTGACATAGAATCAATGACCGCATCGGATAACATGTTGCTCTACAAAAATGATCACATCTAATGGGTGACAAATCCAACGGCTCCACTGTTACAGGACATCCAGTACCACCTGAGACAACTATCAATACCGTCTTTGCTACAAGACCTAACAGCAGTTGGTGTTTCAAGTATCTCTACCAGTTTTGTTTTTGCTGATCATGTCATCCTTCATACGTTGATCCATACGTTCCTGATCTTTCAAACACTGTTTTTGTTGTGGTTGCTGAACAAAGAAACCCCGGACACTCCATGGGACTGCCATATATACCTACATTGACCCCTCTGGCACCACCCCAACTGATCGGCAGTCCTATGGCAGTCCCAGCTTGTCGTGTGGAACTGGCCACAGTTTCAGAACGTCCCGTTCTTCAAGACCTTCCCGGTCACCAACTCGAAGGAAACCACGAGATTCCGCACCGCCCATCCGGCGGCTCTCAGATTCCCCACTGCGTTCTTCTTCGGGGTCCAGGCCTTGCCACCGGTGGCCACGGTGGTGCGAACCACCACAGCGAAGTGATGGTAGCACCGAACGGTGGTAGCACCGAAGAAGACGGTTGATGGTATGGTGAACAAGGGTGCATCATGTGTGTGTTTGGAGGAACATGGTCGAAGACTCAAAGACTAGGGCGACCTATTAGGTCATTAAGGACTCGGACTTGCTCAAGGAGTCGAAAGTCATCCGATCACACAACCATCACCCGATAGCAAGCAGGTCAATGGAGGATGTTTGTTAGGTTGTCCAGCGAGGATGTTGCTGGCAAAAGCACTGTCAGACTTCTACACCCGCAAAATCAAGCTGGGCTGCCCGCTCACCCTCCATCCCAACAATGGAAGTGGTGGCAGGGCCGGTTGAAAGACCAGCACCCTGATCCTTGAATGACCAATGGTTTGTGCATGTGCTTGGCACTTTTGAGGGTCACTTTAAGGGGTGTCAGCCCCTTCGAGGTTAAGTGTTCATTAGACACTCCTTGTGGCTCCTGCTCCATGTTCATTGGAGGAAGGATCTATAAATCAGGAAAGTTCCACCCCCCACATTCGACCTTCTCACCCGGAGGTCCTCACCAGCGGCACCACTTCTCTGATATTGAAACCGGTATCGTCCGCGGTGTCGCCGTCTGTTCTTGGTATTGGTCGCCTTTTTCAAAGCTGATGGCGTCGGTATCAGTGATGTCTCGGGTCTTCCACTTAGAAAACCCATACACTCCATGTATGGACTATATGCCTACATTGACCTCCCAAACCACCCCAATGTGGGCATATATGGCATACATGGAGCCTCTGGGTATGGTTTTTACAGGTCGTATGTCGATATGGTCTGTTCAAGGTCGCTCAGGCCGGGTCACACAACTGAAGGGACTGGAACATTTATCGATCAGTTGACCCCCGGTCAACCACCCCTTGCCTGATCAGGAGTCATATATGCCAGTCCCATCAGTTGTGTCTGCGTCACACTTACAAAGGATCCTCTTCTGATCCACGTGGCAGAATCAAACAGTTACACTCCCTGGACTAACATGCAAGTGGATGGCAGAATCGCTTGGGCCTTTGGAAGGACCATGTTCCTCTACACCGATCGGGTTTTTCAGTTTTTTCACTTCCAGGTTAGTTCCAGGGAGTGTCCTGCCCGCACACCATCTCATGCCCAGGCTTTTCCGTCTTCCAACCAATACCCGTGCCATTCTGACGTGCCTCTGCAGCCATGCAGTGGCAGCCATGCGTGACCAGCAAACTATCGGACACCCCAGCACAAAAGAGGCATGACAGCTTCTGAAGGCGTCCTTTCGTTTCTTTTCTTGTCTTTCTTCATGATGGAATCCAGACTCTCTGGAACAAATGTTATTATTTGTTTGAAGGCGGAGGGTCTTGAAGGCAAATGTCCATTTTGCTACTATCAGGTAACAGGAGATTGTGGAAAGACTTGAATAATTAAGACTGTTGGTCAGTGTGTTTTCAAATATTGCTGAAAAGGTGTGAGGCTTGCACCCAGTACAAGAGCATATCTGTATTTCAAGGATTTTCCAGCTATGATTCGGCTATGATTATGCATAATTTCTGCATGTTCATCCGTAAAACCAGCCAAGTTCGGCAGAAATTCTGCATAGTTGGAAAAGCCCTCCTAAAGGGTCACCAAAGGAGTTCAATTATTCATTCATTGTGCGCTTCACATCCGCAGAGCTATGGGCCCGAAAATTGTCTGCGGTGCATCCACAACGTTTTACCGTGCAACATGCAACATTTTAACAATTTACCCGGATACCTTGTCGTCCTTGAAGCGTGTAAACAAAAAGAACATGTCCTGCCAAACAATGCAAAACATGTCGCTAGGATTTGAACCATTGATTCCATGGCTTTTACCAGTATAACTATGAAAATACCAGCACCTTCCGAAATTGATCGGCTGAAATGCAAACGACCCAACTGTCGTAGGTGGTGACTTGCGAAGTCGGGTCCCGGTATTATTTTTATATATGTACTATTCTATTAATCTTGCTATTCCAGGACTAGGGTTCCACAATGTTCCACACTCTAGGCAAGTCGTGACCTTCAGAGTATGTGGATCCTCAGGGTGTGAGACGCAGGGCTCGCCAGGTCAACCAGACTCAGCCCTCGTTTCTGGAAACGGACCGACCCGACTCAACGAAACGGACCGGAACCCAGGTCGGTCCGCTGAGAGGCTGATGCTTCTGAGCGGATGTCATTTGAAGTTGGCTGAAACAAATGGGATGATATTATCTGATGTTCACATAGAAATACCCTAGATTCCGGTTGCCAACCATGCATTTAATGGTTCGAATCCCGAACAACCATGGTATATTTTTCTGATATATGGATGTTACACTGCAAAACAACGCCAACCTTTCTTTTGATGGTCTTGGAAGGCTTTAACTTGATATGGCTTAGGCAACTGATCTATTCAGAACTCCGAAATTCCCACACCTGCTCACCCCAGCCTCCTCGGACCAAAGGGGACCGAAGACCGCGAGGTCCCGCGGAAAACGGGACGTTTCACCAAGGTCAAGGCCACAAGTCGAGGTCCAAGATGTAGTCCAACGGTGCTGGCCGTTCGAGCGAGCGCGCACCCAAGGGAGCCACATCCATGTGTTTCTGGAGGCCCTTAAGCCGCCCTGGGGAAGGAGCGATTCGATGTTGTGCGATGCCCTGGCGCTTATAGCATGGTGTCAGCCAAGCAGCACTGACAAGGGTGGACAGGCCAAAGATCTATCGTGCGAGTCACGCAAATCAAACATGCCACATGGATCATTTGTCCCCACATGTCGTCACCTATAAGTTCCAAAGGGGTAGCACCAGCAGGTGCCGTTTGTTTTTTCCCAGTCCCTTCCCCCTACGAATCGAAGGACGAGCGGTTAAATCGTCGTTACCAAAACACTAACCTTGTTTCACCCTAAGAATCCGGATCCTCAAACACATAGGGTTTGGTTCGGGCCCGGACCCCTGCTATGGAGGGTCCGACCCCTGCCATGGAGAGCTCAAGGATTCTTAGGGCACTAAGGATGTTGCACAACACCACCGGGTCAACCATTAATGGTCGAACTGAAGGCTAGTTACTTCCAGCGACGGAACATTCCGTCACCGCGACATGGACCTCTTGGTCTAGGGATCCCGTCAGAAGGTGGGACTGGGGTGGGTGCCAGGAGGGTCCAGGTGCCTTTTGAGGAGGTACTTGGATCCCTAGGGATGGTATAATTACAACGTTTGTTGGGAGAATTCGCTTTGTGACCCAACCATACCCAACCACGGTGCCGAAATAGGCCCGACTCCTAGACCCGAATCCGGAAAAGAACCTGTTCATCCCAACGGGTCCGGTGTCTGAAATCGAAGCAACGCCACACTCACCCTAGACTCCCTGGAACTATCATGAAAGTGGACAACCATGTCTTTGTAATTAGAAAATGGTCTTCCCACAACTCTTCTGACTCTTCACTTGCGACAAAGAGGCAGGTCTTCGGTTCCTCCACCTGTTCAGCCTAATCCGCATCCAAAACAGCACCGACGGCCCACCAACCTTGACCGAACCGGGTCCGTCGACACAACGGCATGCCGCGGGGCGCTTTTGGTGCCACGGATCGTCACCACCTGGGGCGCCCCGGCTTGAAGCACGTTCTCGCTTTCGCGACCATTCTGTTCTGGATCGAAATGAGATGTTGAATTGGGACATTTGTCATATCATATACCAAAGGTATTGTACCAGGACCCTCCGACAGGTCACCAATGGAGACCTGAGACAGGGTCCAACAACCCTCAACTAACAGCCTGGCCGAGTTCGGGTGCAGGTATATGCAAAAAACATGAAGCGGCGGGACCCTCCAGGTTCGGCTGTTGAGAGGTCTCCAGCTAGGTGGTGGCTGGGCATCGAACATCGGAAACCAAGGAGTTCCACCGATCGAACCAGCCCGCCGTTTCATATGACGTCTCTTTCGGTCCCGGGCCATCGTATCCTCCAGCTTGGAGCCCCGGAGGCCCTGGAACACGAACCAGGACGTCCAATCTCCGACATCACCTTGGCCAGTCCACCGAAGAACGCAGCCAGTGAAAGCAATCCTAGACACTTCATGGGACTGGAATATTTACATACATTGTGCCTGGAGTTCGAACACATGACACTCCGGAAGGTGCTGACATGGTCCGTCTGTGTGGCGTGTCGCACCCGTTCGCTAAGAGCAGTCACCTTACAAGACCACAACAAATTATGGTTGACCTGGTCTTGTGGTGTATTTTTCGTAAAACAATATTGGTTGTTGTTCAATAAAACCTATTAACGATTAATGGTGGTCTGAAACCTAGGGTAGGTTTTGACTTCTCACAACTGTTGGGCCGAAGTAACATCTAGCAACTGCGTCCAAGGTCTCTTGTGGGGCTCTCTTGTGGCTCTTGTAGGACACTCTCTTGTGAGACACTTTGTGGACATTCTCACTTGGGACACACTTGCTGGACACGTGGGCCACTCTTGTGGGACAATTATGTGGGCACTGTTGTGGGACCCTCTTGGGGGACACTCTTGTGGTGCTCTTGCGGGGGCAGTCTTTTTTGTCAAACGTTGGATTGCGCCTGTGCTCAAGACGCCACAGAAGGAATAAAAGTTGCATCCCACGCAGCCGTCCACAAAATCATACTATCGTCATCGGAAGTTCAATTTTCATCCATTTTCCCGTTTCCTGTGCGCACGGTTCTCGGTTTGGACGAGTTTGCAGCATTCACACAACAGATGCTCCACCAGCGCTATGCTGTACAATGACACACACGGATGTGTCCAGGACAACAAATAATCTGCATTTTCCGGACCTAACATCACTACTACCTTACCCCCGGGGGGGGGGTCAAACATATAATTTACAATTTCGGGTGTGAGGACAGGGGTCAAAATTGTAAGTTACATTTTTGACCCTCGTGTGTATTCGTTCGGCCTGCACGCACTCAAAAATTGTAAGTTACATGTTTGAGGGTGAGGTAGAAGCATGGCCCTTCACCCTCAAAATTGTAACTTACAATTTCCCTTTCGGTTGATCACAAGTTTGCACTGTGCCCCATTTTCCCTTGGAAGTGTTGGCATGTAGCGGCTGCGCCCGAAGATTCTGGCCAGTGGGAAAGGCAGTCTAATTGTAATATTTCCTGCTGGGTACACTAGAGTGCGTGCTGTGTGAGTTTTTCCTGGGCTGTGCCTGCCTCAACATTTATTGGAGGACCTCACCAGTGCGGGAGGGGGGGGAACCAATTGTAATATGGCTTTCTGGTTGTACTATGGTACACCCTGTGCAGTGTTTTCCTTTCATGTTCTGGTTTCAGCATTTCTCTCACAAAATTGAAGAGTGGCAGAAGGGTGTTCTAACTGTTATGTGGACTTGCTGGTGCACTAAACACACACTGCGCGGTGCTTTTCCTGGGCTGTCCTTGCCTCAACCTTTATTGGAGGACCTCACCAGTGCGGGCGGGGGGGAACTAATTGTAATATGGCTTTCTGGCTGTACTATGGTACACCCAGTGCATGTTCTGGCTTCAACATTTCTCTCACAAAATTGAAGTGGCGGAAGGGTGTTCTAATTGTTAGGTGGACTTGTTGGTGCACTAAACACACACTGCGCGGTGCTTTTCCTGGGCCGTCCTTGCCTCAACCTTGATTGGAGGACCTCACCAGTGCGGGAGGGGGGGAACTAATTGTAATATGGCTTTCTGGCTGTACTATGGTACACCCTGTGCAGTGTTTTTGCCTTTCATGTTCTGGCTTCAGCATTTCTCTTACGAAATTGAAGAGTGGCAGAAGAGTGTTCTAATTGTTATGTGGACTTGTTGGCGCACTAAACACACACTGCGAAGGGGGGGAACTAATTGTAATATGGCTTTCTGGTTGTACTATGGTACACCCTGTGCAGTGTTTTCCTTTCATGTTCTGGCTTCAACATTTCTCTCACAAAATTGAAGAGTGGCAGAAGGGTGTTCTAATTGTTATGTGGACCTGTTGGTGCACTAAACACACACTGTGCGGTGCTTTTCCTGGGCTGTGCCTGCGGGATCTAATTGTAATATGGCTTTCTGGCTGCGCTGTGGTACACCCTGCGCAGTGTTTTCCTTTCATGTTCTGGTTTCAGCATTTCTCTTACGAACTTCAATAGTCGGAGAAGAAGGTTGTAATTGTGATATGGACTTGTGGGCGCACTAAAATACATTCCGTTTAGTATTTTTCCAAGTTGCAGTGGCCTTAAACATATCTGGAAGAGAGAGGGGCTTCAGAGCTTTACCAGAT